AGCAAATCACCCCAAAATTGCAGCTCGAGCTGTCGGGGCTGCGGCAGTCTGCAATGATAGACCCCAAAATTGCATTAAATCACCCCAAAACTGAGCAAATCACCCCAAAACTGATCAAGTCACCCCAAAATTGCATTAAATCACCCCAAAATTGATCAAGTCACCCCAAAATTGCATTAAATCACCCCAAAACTGATCAAGTCACCCCAAAATTGCATTAAATCACCCCAAAACTGAGCAAATCACCCCAAAACTGATCAAGTCACCCCAAAATTGATCAAATCACCCCAAAACTGATCAAATCACCCCAAAATTGCATTAAATCAGCCCAAAATTGCAGCTCGAGCTGTCAGGGCTGTGGCAGTCTGCAACGAGAGACCCCCAAAAAATCATCAGGGACCCCCAAAATTGATCAAATCACCCAAAATTGATCAAATCAGCCCAAAATTGCAGCTCGAGCTGTCGGGGCTGCGGCAGTCTGCAACGAGAGACCCCCAAAAATTGAACTTAGGGACCCCAAAATTGCAGCAAAACACAAAAAAATCGCATTGAAATGGCCCAAATTGCAGCAAAATGGCCCAAAAGTGCAGCAAAATAGCCCAAAATTGAACAAAAATAGCACAAAATTGAACAAAAATAGCACAAAACTACAGCAAAATGCCCCAAATTGGACCAAAATAGCACAAAATTACAGCAAATAGCCCAAAATTAAATCAAAATAACCCAAAATTACAGCAAAATAGCCCAAAATTGCATCAAAGTAGCCCAAAATTGAACAAAAATACCCCAAAACTGCATCCAAATACCCAAAGTTGAACCAAAATACCCAAAATTGCATCAAAATACCCAAAATTGCAGCAAGAGAGGCCAAAATTGCAGCAAAATAGCCAAAAATAACAGGAAAAGAGCCCAAAATTGCAGCAAATTGCCCCAAATTGGACCAAAATAACTCAAAATTGCAGCAAAATAGCCCAAAATTAAATCAAAATAGCCCCTAATTGCATCAAAGCAGCCAAAAATTGAACCAAAACAGCACAAAATTACAGCAAAGTGCCCCAAATTGAACCAAAATAGCCCAAAATTAAATCAAAACAGCCCAAAATTGCAGCAAATCGCCCCAAAATTGAAGCAAACCACCCTGAAATTGCAGCAAAACCCCCCAAAACTGCATCCAAATACCCAAAATTGAACCAAAAAAGCTTCAAATTGCATCAAAATACCCCCAAATCGCACCAAAATACTCCAAAAATCTAATCAGGAACCCCAAAATCCCATCAGGAACCCCCAAAATTACACCAAGATGCCCCAAAATTACACCAAAACAGCCCAAAACCTGTTCAGGGACCCCCAAAATCCCAACATAGACCCCAAAATTACCCTAAAAGACCCCAAAATCCCATCAGGAAACATCAAAATCAGGGCAGGGACCCCAAAATTACCCCAAAATCCCATCAGGAACCCCAAAATTACCCCAAATTCCCCCCTGAATCTGGTCAGGGACCCCAAAGTTACACTAAAATACCCCAAAATTGCACCAAAATACCCCAAAATCTGTTCAGAGACCCTGAAATCCCATTGTGGACCCTAAAATTCTATCTGGAATCCTCAAAATTAGGGCAGGGATGCCAAAATTACCCCAAAAAACCCCAAACTCCAGTCAGGGACCCTGAAATGACCCCAAAATACCCCAAAAATACCCAAAATTGCCCCAAAATCAGGGCAGGGACCCCAAAATAACCCTAAAATGCGGTCAGAGAGCCAAAATTGCCCCAAAATCTCATCAGGGACCCCAAAATCACCCCCAAAATCCAGTCAGGGACCCCAAAATCTCATCAGAGACCCCAAAATGACCCCAAAATCTCATCAGGGACCCCCAAATGACCCCAAATCCCCCAAAATTGCCTCAAATCCACTCAGGATCCCCCAAACTCCCCCAAAATCAGCCCAGACCCCCCAAAATTCAGTAATGAACCCCCAAATCCAGGCAAGGACCCCCCCAAAATCCCCTCATGACCCCAATTCTCCCTCAGGACCCCCCCAGAATCCCCTCTGGACTCCCCAAATCCCCTCAGGACCCCCAAAATTCCATCAGGATCCCCCCAAAATCCCCTCACAACCCCCAAAATCCCCTCACGACCCCCCAAAATCCCCTCAGGACTCCCCAAAATTCTGTCAGGACCCCCAAAATCCCCTCAGGACCCCCAGTTCTCCCTCACGACCCCCAAAATTCCATCAGGATCCCCAAAATCCCCTCACGATCCCCAAAATCCCCTCATAACCCCAATTCTCCCTCTGGACCCCCCTCCAAAAACGCCTCTGGACCCCCCAAAATCCCCTCACGACCCCCAAAATTGCATCAGGATCCCCAAAATCCCCTCACGACCCCCAAAATTCTGTCAGGATCCCCCCAAAATCCCCTCATGACCCCAGTTCTCCCTCAGGACCCCCCCAAAATCCCCTCACAACCCCCAAAATCCCCTCAGGTTCCCCCCAAAATCCCCTCAGGTTCCCCCAGTTCTCCCTCACGACCCCCGAAATCACCTCACGACCCCCCAAAAATCCCCTCAGGACCCTCCAAAACCCCCCAAAAATCCCCTCAGGACCCTCCAAAACCCCCCAAACCCCCTCAGGACCCCCAAAATCCCCTCAGGATTCCCCAAATCTGCTCATGATGACCCCTCACATCCCCTCAGGACCCGCAGTCCCCCCTCAGAACCCCCAATTCTCCCTCAGGACCCCCAATTCTGCCATCTCACCCCCCAAAAATCCCTTCCCATCACCTCACGATCCACAAAACCCCCTCAGGACCCCCCCAAACCCCCTCAGGACCCCCAAATTCCCTCATGACCCCCCAAATCTCCTCAGAACTCCCCAAAACCCCTCAGGACCCCCAAAATCCCCTCAGAATCCCCCCAAACCCCCTCAGGACCCCCAAATTCCCTCAGGACCCCCAGTTCTCCCTCAGAACTCCCCAAATCTCCTCAGGACCCCCAAAAACCTCTCAAGATTCCTCAAATCCTCTCACGACCCCCCAAATCTCCTCAGGACCCCCAGTTTTCCCTCAGAATCCCCCCAAATCCCCTCAGGACCCCCAATTCTCCCTCATGACACCCCCAAATCCCCTCAGGACCTTCCGCATCCCCTCAGAGCCGCCAAAGCCCCTCAGGACCCCCAGAATCCCCTCAGGACCCCCAAAATCCCCTCAGAATCCCCCCAAATCCCCTCAGGACCCCCAGTTCTCCCTCACGACACCCCCAAATCCTCTCGGAACCTTCCGCATCCCCTCAGAGCCCCCAAATCGCCTCAGGACCCCCAATTCTCCCTCAGGACCCCCAGTAACCCCCAAACCCCCTCAGGATCCCCCATATCTCCTCATGACCGCTCACAGCCACTCAGGGTCCCCATTTTCCCCTCAGAACCCTCCAAAACCTCTCAAACACCCTCAGATCTCCCCAAATCCCCTCAGGACCCCTCATATCCCCTCAGGACTCCCAATTCTCCCTTATACCTGCCCAAACCCCCTCACGAACCCCCCAAATCCCCTCAGGACCCTCAGTTCTCCCTCACGATCCCCCCAAACCGCCTCAAGATCCTCCACATCCCCTCACGACCCCCGAACATCCTCAGGACCCCCAATTCTCCCTCACTACCCCCCCCAAATCGCCTCAGGACCCCCAGTTGTCCCTCAGGACCCTCAGTTCTCCCTCATGATCCCCCAGAAATCCTCTCATGACCCCTCACATCCCCTCAGGATCCCCTAAATCCCCTCAGGACCCCCAATTCTCCCTCAGGATCACCCCAACCTCCTCAGGACCATCCCCAACCCATCCTCACCGCCTCCCCCCCTCTCCCCGCTCCCGCCGCTCCCGGTGCTGACCGCGGTCGCTGTCGCCCATCCCGCGCTGCCGGGGGGGGTCCCGGGGCTCCCTCGGCGCCCCCAAATTCCAGCCCCGCCCCCCCCCCCCGGGGCCGCGCCCCCCCCCCGCGGCCTCGGCCCCGCTCCGCCGCCGCCGCTGGGCCCCACCGGGACCACAATGCACCGCGTGTCCGCCGGAAGCGGCCGCCGACGCCGCCGCGGGGAGAACTTCCGCCAGTACTTCTGCCAGGTGCGGCTTCTGATTGAGCCGTGCTCCAGCTTTGCCGCCATCTTTGTTAAGGGCAGTTCCTCCCGCTCCTCAGAGCGCTCCGCTTTCCCTCATAAATCCGGCCGGGAACGGCGGAATCCGCCTGGAAATGGCGGGATGGAGCCTAAATCCTCTGGCATTCAACCAAGGCGCCCAAATCCACCCAGCAGAGTCCCGCAGGAGCGCTCCCCAGGCTCAACCAGCGCAAACTGTCCGTCTCTGGAGTGAAGCTGAGCCGCCATCTTGGGTGAGGGCAGTTCCGCCAGGTCCTGGATGCGCTCCCACAGCTGGGCAGAGCAACGGGGATTCCAAACTCCACTTAAATCCCCCAATCTCAGCCTAAATCCTCCCATAATTCTGCCTAAGCCGCCCCAAACTCGGCCTAAAACCCTGCAGGACCCTTGGGCCCTCAAAAGAGAGCCAGGACAGCTTCCGCTCTTTCCCTGAAGCAGCGCCGCCATCTTGCGTGAGGGCAGTTCCGCCCGCTCCTCGGAGCGCTCCGCGTTCCCTCATTAATTCGGCCAGGAACGGCGGAATCCGCCTGGAAACGGCGGGAGGGAGCCTAAATCCTCTGACATTCAACCAAAGCGCCCAAATCCACCCAGCAGCGTCCCTCAGGAGCTCTCCCCAGGCTCAACCAGCACAAACTGCCCGTCTCTGGCGTGAGGCTGCGCCGCCATCTAGTGTGAGGGCAGTTCCGCTCGGTCCTCAGAGCGCTCCGCGTTCCCTCATACATCCCGCCGGGAATGGCGGAATCCGCCTGGAAATGCTGGGACTGAGCCTAAATCCACTGGGGATGGATTCTAAATCCCCTGAGATTCAACCAAAGCGCCCAAATCCACCCGGCAGCGTCCCCAGGAGCGCTCCCTGGGCTGAACCAGCGCAAACTGCCGTCTCTGGCGTGAGGCTGCGCCGCTATCTTGGGTGAGGGCAGCTCTGTCCGCTCCTCGGAGCGCTCCGCATTTCCTCATAAATCCAGCGGGGAACAGCAGAATCCGCCTGGAAATGCCGGGACTGAGCCTAAATCCCCTGGGGATGGATCCTAATCTCCCCTGGGATTCAGCCAAAGCACCCAAATCCTGGAGCTTTTATGCATAAGGGCGGTACGGGAAAGAGCGGGCGTCCAGCCCCTTCCCGTCCTTCCTGAGGCGGCTCCGCAATTTGCTTGGCACCGCCACGGGGACCGGTTCTGGGCCGGGAACGGCAAAATCCGCCAGGAAATGCTGGAACTTAGCCTAAACCCCCTGGGGATGGATCCTAAATCCCCTGGGATGGAGCCAAAGCGCCCAGATCCTGGAGCTTTTATGCATAAGGACGGTACTGGAAAGGGCGGGCGTCCAGCCCCTTCCCGTCCTTCCTGAGGCGGCTCCGCCTTTTCTTGGCGCCGTTCCCGGAACTGTTTCTGCGCTGGAACCGCCGCTGGTCCCGAAGCTCCTTCGCCACCAGAGCGTCCCCAAGGTGTCCCTAAGGTGTTCCCAAGGTGTCCCCAGTGACCATGGAGCCCAAAGAGGTGCGATTGGAGGGGAATATGGGGGGAGACGACAGAGGAGGGGAGCCGGGGACTGGCGCGGGGTGGCAGAGGGGACAGCAGAGGGGACAGGAGGGTGGCAGGGGTTATGAGAGGGTGGCAGAGGGGACAGCAGAGGGGACAGGAGGGTGGCAGAGGGGACAGGAGGGTGGCAGCGGTTATGAGAGGGTGGCAGAGGGGACAGCAGGGGGGTCGCAGAGTGTCGCAACTGAGGACATCCCTCTGGGTGTCCAGAATGGCCAAGAGCCCGGCCAGGGGGCTCAGAAGCCCTGGCACAGAGCCCAGAACACCTGTGGGGTTGATTATGACCCGTGGAGAAAATTACCAGCCTTGTACGAATACCAGCAAGCCACAGCAGTTTAAGAGCATAACAGTGAAATTATCACAGGGAAAAAAAAAAATAGGTTTTTGGGGTTTCTAGAATGGGGGTTTTGGGGACAAGGTGGAAGGATTTGAGCGTGTCCAGCCTTTCTCCTTCTTCTCTGCCTCCATCTTCTGCTGTGATGTGGGCACTTTTAGATTGGTTTAGAGTGGGAGCTCACTGTCTAACATAGGTGATAGGTATTGGAAAGAAATTTTAAACATTATATACGTAGTTTTTAGTATAAAGAGTTAACACCGCCCCGGGGCTGGGCAGTGTCCCTGGAAACGTTCTGCTGGATGGACTTTGGCAGGGCAGGAGGAAAATGTTTATAGATAAGACGCAATAAACAACCTTCAGACCGGGAAATGAAGAGGTCTGACTCATTCTTCAAGCACACGGGCTGGAAAGAGACTGTTAACAATCTTGGGGCCACGGCGTCCTGGACCCTCGAGAGCAGAGGGGACAGCAGAGGGGACAGGGAAGTGGCAGAGGCTACGAGGGAAGTGGCAGAGGTGGCAGCAGGAACAAGGGAGGGACAGATGAGCAGCAGAGCCATCCAGGGAGGGGCACAAAGGGGAACCCTTGGAGGCAGGGGGCCACCTCAGGGCACCACAAGTGCCACCAGGTTCCTGACACCTCCCCTGTCCCCTCCCCAGCTGTCCCCGGCCCTGCTGCAGCCACAGGTCAGGGTGGTGTCCATCCGGCGCAAGCTGCTGGACACCCTGCCCAGGCGGGACGAGGACACGATGCTCGTGTCCCCAGTGTGCCTGCACTGGGGCCTGGAGGAATTCACCAAGGAGCTCCGGGTCACCCTGCACCGCATTGATGACACCTCGTGGCGCCTCAATGTCACCTCCGACGATGACGATCCTCGCACCTCCCTGAGCCGGGCCCTGGCCGCCTACAAGAGCACCCCAGGGACCAACTGGGATCGAGTGACAATGGCAGCCAGCAAGTGGCAGTGTTTGGAGTCTGTGCTTGTGGACAGCTGGGCCCGGCTGGCCAGGACGGCCACCAAGCTCCACAGCACCTGCAGGGGGGTGGTCACCTGGGCCAGGGAGCTGCAGGACGAGGCTGCCCGTGATGGGACAGCTCAGGAAAATAGGGGGGAGCTGGGTCAGGCCATGCACAGGGAGGAGGGGGCCAAGGTGGTGGCCGGGCATGGAGACCAGGTGAGGAGAGTGGCCATGGTGGCTGCCAGCCAGGGAAGAAGGGCCACCATGGAGAGACAGTGGATGGAGGCGGCCCTGGGGCTGCTGGAGCGCTTGGTGGCCGTGTGTGACGAAGCCACCGCATTCCCCCGGGAGCTGCAGCGCAGGGTTGGTGACATCGAGGCCGCCCTGGAGGTGACAAATTGGGTGTCCGCCGATGTCCCCGAGGGCTTGCTGGCCAAGGTGGCCGAGGCCGAGCGGCTGTGGCTGGCCAACGCTCTCCTGGCCAAGGGTCACATGGTGGGAGCCATTGACGACATCATCGACTACTATAGCACGGGTGGTCCCACGGGCCCCAGTGCCTGTGGGGTGGCCGAGCGGTGCCAAAGAGCCATCGAGGACATCCCAAGGCTCCTTCAACCCCCAGAGTGTCCCCGGAGCATCCCCAAGATCTCCCCAGTGAGTATGGAGCCCCAAGAGGTGCGATGGGCGGGGTGGGGGAGGACAGAGACTACACTGGGGGGACACAGGGGCCAGTGGGGCGGGGGTAGCAGGGACAAGAGGCTGACAAAGGGACAAAGGGGACCCCTTGGGGGCAGGGGGCCACTGCAGGAGGCCGCAAGTGCCACCAGGTCCCTGACACCTACCCTGTCCTCTCCCCAGGTGTCCCCTCCGCAGCTGCAGGCGCTGGTGGCCGTGGTGGCCACCCTGGGCACGGTGGCGGCCGCCGTGATGGCGCCACACTGGGACAAGTCCCCAAACTTGCACGAGGACCTGAGGAGATTCACCCAGAGCCTCCATGCGACCCTGAACCTTGGTAATGTCACCTTCCTGGGCCACCCTGGTGTCACATCCCTGGGCCACCCTGGTGTCCCCTCCCTTGTGGTAAGTTAGGGACAGGCGATCGGAAGGTATCGCGTTGTACGGGCAGACAGAAGCGCTCCTCTCAGCTGTTGAAGATGGTTGAGAGGCACTGACCCCCCGTTTGTGTCACAACCACAACTGAAGGTATATAACCTTGTGAAACAGACAATAAAAATAATTTTGGAGCGCACCATGCTGGTGTCTGTGAGCTCATGGCCCAAGTGGCCGGGGTTGGCCGTCGTGCCGTTCCGAAACCAGGTCACCACGCCTCAGTGGAGGGTGCTGAAATCCAGGAAACCATCCGGAAAATAGGAATCGCCTGGATGGGTGAACGGCGGCCGAAGAGGCTGGACCAGCTCTGGCAGGGAGGAGACGCTGCAGGACCAGCAAAGAGGATGGAACCCCTTGTGAAGGTCGTATTTCAGATCCGTAAGCAATGGGGTGTTGACTGTAAACCAATGTGGTGTTGATTGTAAACCAAAGGATTTTACCCTCGCAGTGTTGAGCCTATTGCAATTGGGGTCCTTGACCGACCAGTGGACATATCCACCCAGAAATATGAGATAAGTGTACCACGGTTCTGGCTGAGGAAACAATGTCCTCAGGTTCTGGGAGGTGTCTTAAATCATGGGGAAAAGTCGTGCAGGCTCTGCAAAAGGCTCGGCAAGAGCAAGAGGCCTGGAAAGCCACGCGAGAATGTTTGCTGGCCGTGCCCTGGCCGGGGGTTGGAGCGACCACGCAGACCTGGAGGGGGAACCAGGGCCAATCAGAGCTTAGTTACAATGCTAAATAGTTCTAGTTATAATAGTTTTGTCTGAAAACATATCCTCATAAGACAGGAGCCTCCACCAGCAGGAGCCGGGGCAAGTCTAGGGGGAAGGAGCGGCCAAAACCTAGGAGAAAGGGACGGGGTAGGAGCCCAACAAAAAGATTCCAGAGTCAGGAGATATCCAGTCAGGAACTTCTGAACCTGAGTCAAACTCGAGCTGGGATGAGTGGTTTGATGACTCTGACAAAGAGGAAGTGAGGGTGTACAAGATTAGCAACCACAAGGCTCCTGCTTGGGTTAAGAGGAAGTTAAAAAAAGAACAAACAAACCCTGTTTGCAGACTGCAGGAAAATAACAATAACATGCGCCGATGGGGCCCCATCAGCCACGCTGGCGTTCCCAGTCCGAGTGAGAGGGCAAGGTGAAAATCAGAGAACCTACTCACCAGTGAACCCCAAGGATGTACAAGCAATTGTTAAAGCAATTGTGGACAGAGGGATTGATTCAGCTACAGTTTCCACTCTTATTGATAGCGTTTTTGGTAGGGATGACATGCTCCCATTTGACACTAAACAAACATGCAGATTAATTTTTGATGGGGTAGGGATGATTGTTTTTAAACGAGAATGGGAGGACAACTGTGCAAAGCAGCTGGCCTTAGTGACTGGGGCAGACCATGCACTACACGGTTCCAGCTTACAACACTTAACGGGCACAGACGTTGAAAACAAATGGGTTGAAAATCGCAAGAGCAAAAATAAAAGGGGACTGTGCATCACCCTTTTGGGAGCGGGAATTTTGAACTCCTATATAACCCCTCCCCAGATAAAATTCCACCAAGACATCAAGGCGCTGCATGGCATCCAGCAGCTGCTAGGATCCCTACAATGGCTCCGCAACATCTTCCTGATCCCTCCCGAGGTCGTGGACCCCCTAAACGACCTCCCGAGAGGGAAAACCCATGGGAGCGAAAGACTCTGACACCAGAAGCGATAAGCTCGCTCCGTTTTATCAAACATCAGGTGTCGGTGAGCACGTTCACCAGATGGGACTCGGGCACGCTGGTTGATTTGTGTGTCCACTTTACAAAGAAAGAGGGAGTAGGAGAAGCAGCCCAAGGACCCCCCGACAAAGCCCAGCCAGTGGGTGGTCTTGGGAAAACCATCACGCCCTTTTTCATCGGGAGTTGAGTGCCTGAGCAGCCTTGCCATGAAAGGCAGGAAACTCGCCCTGAGGCGTTTGGGCATTGAACCCACCAGGATATTTCTGCCCTTCTGTAGTAGGAGTCTTAGGAAAACATCTGTATTGCATATTGAATATCTGTGTATAGGCGTTGCCCTGACAAGCCCTGGTTGTTTTTTGTCCTTAACTGGGCTGCAGCTGTAGCTGGTGAAGATAACTGGGATGAAAGGGGCTGGGCCTGGCCCGCTGAGTTGAGCTGATAACAAGCAGGAGAAGAAGTCAGAGCTGTGAAGAACCGCCCCCAAGAAGTATCCCCGAGAAGGCACAAGACTTTAGAAATACGAATACAGCAGTATGGGACTTTAGAAATACAACAACAAGATTACAACGCCCTTCGGCAAGCAGCTTTCCGTGCAGTTATCGACAATATCAGAGCACCTCGCCACAGGCCTTGCTGTATTTGGAGGAGAGATTCGCTGTGCGGCAAAACCCCCTTGGACTCAGCTGCTGGCGATCGTTGACATCGACCTCCCACCAAAGATAATCGACTGATCACGAGCAGGACCCACGGTCTTCACGGACGCATCTTTATTGGAATACGAATCCCAGTATTTCCAGGTATATTGTGCCTGGGCCCGTCTGACCCCTGCTGCTCGGCCAAAGGCGGCAGCTGCGGTGTTTCACCCCAGAGACACCTTTGGCTGGCTGGATGCTGCAGCAGGCACGGAAACAAAGCCAAGCTTGTAGAAACCCAGTTTACCTCAGGTGGGAAGGTTTCAGGTGATGGTGGAGAGGAAAAGAGAGCGGATTCTGCTGGAGGGTTAATATCCAGAGTTTATTGCATGGTCACAGAGGTGTGAATCACAGGTAACAGCTCCAACAGAATCCCGAGCACATGGCCTGAGTGACTTCTGAAGCTCTGGGACAGGGAGAGGGGACAGCTGAGCACCAACCAGGTGGGAGGAGGAGGGTCCCAGGGGACGAGGGACACCCAGACAGGCCAATGACCCCCAGGCCTGAAGGGCACCCTTTGAACATGACCAACCACACGAGGCCTTGCTGGAATGTCCAGCCTGATGGACAGAACTCACTCAGCAAGGGGGCGATGGGAAAGGGAGAGGGGCATTGCCACACCTGGGGAAGGGACTGGGAAGTGGAAAACAGGAAATTGCAACACGCTGCATGCAACACATCTTCGTTAACCTCCACCGCAGCGGCGGCGTGGCAGTCAGGAGAGCGGCGGCGTTGCATCAAAACAACCGACCCAATGCTTTCGGTGCAGCAACTCGAAGCAGCCGCCGTGTATTACAGCGTCCTGATGAGGTCTTCAGGGTGAGAGACGGAACCTTGGTTCATGATCAGAAGGCTGGATTTATTGATATATGGTATATAATACATTATTACTATACTAATAGTAATAAAGAGAGAAGTTGCAGAGGCTTGCTAAGCTAAGAATAGAATAGAATCTAAAAACAAGAGAGTTCTCTGTCACTGTGTTCCAGAGAGCTTGCCCTGTGATTGGCCCTTAATTGTACACGTGGAACATGAGCCAATGGCAGGTGGAACATGAGCCAATGGCAGGTGCACCCTATTGCATGCCACAGCGGCTGATAATCATTGTTTACATTCTCTTTCTGGGGCCTCAGCTTCCCAGAAGATGAACAAATCCCAAAGAAACGATTTCTATGAAAAAATGTCTGTGACAGCCGTGGTCCTAGCACGTGGGCTGTTCCCAGAAGAGCACCTCAACATCGTAACCAACTCTGTGTTTGTGGCCAAGCTCTGCCCAGCCACGTCTGGACCCGGCGTGTCAGTGTCCGCGGTGACGATGATGCTTGAAGAGGCACTTTGTTCACGAAAAGGCGCCGTATCTATCATCCACATCAACAGCCACAATCTGATTAAAGGATTCTTTCAAATCGGCAACGACGAGGCAGACGCCGCCACAAGAGGAATCTGGACGCTGAGGGATGCCCGTCAACTACATGAATCCCTTCATATCGGAGCTAAAGCACTCGCCAAAAAATGCGGGATTTCAGCCGCTGATGCGAAGCGCGTCGTCGCCTCATGTCCTTGTTTTGCAGAGAAAAGAAGAAACCCCACAACTTTATCAAAGTTGTAAAGCTCGGTGTGTTTATTTACAGCGCCGGACACGTGCGGAGAAAACTCTCCTCAAAAGGCATGCGCACCTCTGAGAACTTCAGATCTCCTTTTATCCCCCTCCCAAATACATACGCACACAGTTTCACGATAGGTTCATACATATTCATTTTTATGGGTTTCGTGTGACTTTTACCATCAGTTCCTTTTTATCAGAAGGAATTCCGAGGTCAGGTTGACTTGCCCTTACAGCAGTCCCTGTCCCTCTCTATCATCTTCTGTCTCCCCCCCTTTATCTCCATCCTTCGCTGAAGTAACTCCACTGAGCTGAGGCCTTGCAGCCGGGCTAAATAACTACGGTTTCTAACCACAGGCTCAACTCAAAAAGGTACATTTCACCTAAATTAATGTGGATTTCTGTCCTGGAAGATTTTCACTTTGCTTCATCCTCATTGCCAAAAATCACCACCGTGGTCCGGGGGAGTCAACCCCAGAGGCCTCAAAGCTGCAGAAATATGGAAAAATCTGGCAAACAGACTTTATATTATGTGAGCTGCTAAAACCCTGAATTTGGTTCGCAGTGACTGTGGATGCCTACAGTGGCAGGGGCCGTGCCCAATGCCCGGGTGACAGTGGCCAGTGAGGAGGAGGAGGAGGAGGAGGAGGCAGCCAGTGAGGAGGAAGAAGCTGCCACCAGGAGGGAGCAGCGCTGGGAGGCGGCCCAGGGGCTGCTGGAGCGCTTGGTGGTTGTTTCTGAAAGAGCCAGGCATTTCGTCTTTGAGATGAACCACCGGCTCGAGGCCACCGAGGCCATCCTGAAGGGGACAAATGAGGCGTGCCCTGATGTCCTCAGGGCCTTGGTGGCCACAGGGCCCACCTGGCCACACGTCACCTGCTGGGGACACTTGGGGACATCTGCAGGCTCCTCACAAAGCCCCCTGAGAGCTCTTGTGGCTCTGATGGCCCAAGTGGCCCCGGTGGCTCTGGTGGCTCTGATGGCTCTGATGGTTGCACGGTGGCTGAGCGGTGCCAAAAAGCCATCGAGGA